TCCCAATTTCTCTCTTGGATGGAAACAAATAAGTCAGAATCACTTGCAAAGACTCTTACTTATTCTAAGTTTCCTCATCATTATGTGTATAAAAAAATAAACGATTATGGGATAAAAGGAAAAGAGGTTTTTTAGTTGGAAGGATTACTCATGTATCGCCATCATCTGGAGAACTGTACTTCCTAAGAATTTTGTTAACAAAGGTTAGGGCTCTTACTTCATTTGATGACATTAGAACTATTAATGGCATAGTACATCCCACATTTCAAGTTGCATGTTTTAAGCTTGGATTACTTGATGATGACAAGGAATATATAAATACAATACAAAAAGCATCTGTTTGGGGATCTGGTACTCAACTGCGCAAGTTATTTGTTAGTATGTTATTATGTTGTTCCTTAAGTTGTCCTGACTTTGTTTGGAAGGAAACTTCAAAGTTATTATCTGAAGATTTGTTGTACATCCCTCAAGGTGATCACACTTTATCAGGTATAGATTGCTTTTGAACAATGTCAATCAATCATCTTTTATTACATAAGTCATAATTATTTATTTTTTCCATTCAATTATATAGATGTGGAGGTGTCTCTCTTTGAGAAGGATCAACAAGCACTTTGAAATATTGATTCGCTACAGAAAGAAAATGGGAAATGCCTACATAATTTTCCTTCTTTACCAATGCTTACAAGAGTTGAGACAATTGATGTGAACAATCATCTCATATTGCAAGAATTAAATTATGATTGTTCAGTACTAAGTATTGAATCTTCAAGACTGATCAATTCTTTGACTTCTGAACAATGAGCTATCTTTGACACTGTTATGAATTCATTGTCTTCTTTATTGGGTGGTTTCTTCTTTGTTCATGGATTTGGTGGTACTGGGAAGACCTTCTTATGGAATGCACTTACTTCCACACTTTGTGCTAGGGGAGATATTGTGTTGACAGTTGCATCTAATGGAATTGCAGCAACTTTGTTACCTGCAGGAAGAACTGCACATTCAAGGTTTGCAATTCCAATACAAATTACTGAAGAATCTATGTGTTGTATCAAACAAAATTCACCATTGGCACATTTAATTCAGGCTACTAAATTAATAATTTGGGATGAGGCTCCAATGGTCCAAAGATACTGCATGGAAGCTTTTGAAAGAACACTCAAGGATATAATGTAGTGTGAGCTATTATTTGGTGGTAAGTGTGTCCTATTTGGTGGTGATTTTTGTCAGATACTTCCAGTCATTCCAAAAGGTACAAGAGCAACTATTGTGAATGCATGCATTAGTTCTTCACCACTTTGGGATCATTGCATAATATTCAACTTGACAAGAAATATGCGTTTGTATTCATCTCCTTCAAACAAAGATGATGATATGTTAGAGAAATTTTCAAAATGGTTGCTAGATGTTGGTGATGGTAAATTGGGCGAAGCCGTCGATGGGGTTACCAAAATTGATATACCACGACATCTGTTATTAACTGGATATACTAATCCTATAGAAGCAATTGTGAAGTCTACTTATCCTAATCTATTAGACAATCTCTTAAAGAATCAATACTTCAATGATAGGGCAATTCTTGGACCAACAATTGAAAGTGTGAATCAGGTAAATGATTATATGTGCTCTTTACTTCTTGGTGAATCTGTTGACTACTTAAGTTGTGACTCAATATGCAAGTCAATCGAAGATAGTGATAGCTTTGATGATTTATGCACAACTGAATTCCTAAACACAATTAATTATTCTGGCCTACCTTCACACAAGCTTACTTTGAAGGTAGGAGTACCTGTGATGTTGTTGAGGAATATAGATCAAGCATCAGGTCTTTGTAATGGAACATGAATTAGGATTGTACATTTAGGTAAAAATGTCATTGAAGGTGTCACCTTGAATGGTTCAAAGAAGAATGAGAAGGTCTTAATCCATAGAATGGACATGAATCCTTCAGAAAATAGATGGCCTTTCTGCATGAAACGAAGACAATTCCCGATCAATCTATCTTTTGCAATGACTATCAATAAAAGTCAAGGGCAATCATTGCAACATGTTAGACTATATTTACTGAAACCAATATTTACACATGGCCAACTATATATTGCTTTATCAAAAGTCAAGACAATAGATGGATTGAAGATTTTGCTGCATGATAGTGAAGAGGAAGAAAGCATATCAACAAACAATGTTGTTTACAAAGAGGTGTTCAGAAATTTGCTCCGTGATTAAGGAATTTCTCATTATACTTCTAAATGCCTTAAGCAAGATGTTGTCTCCCTAATTAGTTTGACTCATTTGTAACGTTTTGTGTTTGATATGTGAATTTATTCTGTTTGTTATAAAAATCAACAAAGACAGTTTTATTTGAATTACTTATGTGAAGTATCAGTTATTATATCATTGATGTGAAAAAGGATTTATAATTAATTATACTAAGCATGTATAGTAAATTTCTAGAAAAAATATTAAATCTCATACATATTTTTTTTAAGAGTCTCATATTTACAAGCATTTTTTTACTATAGGTCTCACACAAATTTTTTTAATTTTTATTATAGGTTCTATATAAACTCTTATTATATAAAACAAAGAGGAATGTATAAAATTAACATATGAACAGTGTTCTAACTGTATTTGCTAATAAAAAACACAGAGCCACAATTCAAAATCATCTTAAGTCATGTTTCATCTATTAGAATTTATTATCAACTTGGATGCTTAATTTTGTCATGCCTTCTATATATCACTCATTATGCTTCTTAATATTATTTTCTTACAATTTACTAACTTACCTACCTCCTCCATATTTATATCATACCAAGTTTGATTGAACTAAAGTATTTAATTAAACATAAAATTTTTTATGTATTCAACAAGACAAAAAAAACCAAACTGAAGTATTCAATGCACCTTCCTATTGTGATTTTCTCTTTATGCCCCTTTCTATTCTTCTCTCCTTCAATCTCCCTTCTCTCCCTTCCCCTCTCTTTTTCTCTTCTGTCTGAATTATAAATATCTTCCACTTTGACTAAATTTTTAAAAGCATAACAGAGTGATAAAGTAAAACAAAATAGCTTTTAAGCACATTAGGGCTCAATTGAGTTACTAGACTGTGCTTTATGGCTTTCCTTATGTTTAAATTATCTTATTTTGAGATTTAAGACACTGCCATGCAAGCACTTGGACTGAAGGCCCTTGCACATGCACGAAAATGTATAACCCATAGAGGTTGCAAACTTAAAGACCCATGACCATAATAAAGATGTGAATACACAGCAAAGATAAAATACAATGTAAATGAATGAGTAAGTATTTAGGAGAGGAGTAAGTCTGTTTTCTCAATATGACATGCCTTCTTATTGTTAGATTCTTTGAAAAGTTTGAGAGGAGCAAGTCTCTTTCATTCACTAATTGAAAAATTATAAATATTAAAAAACGCATAAATAATTGACCTTGCATTTTTCATTTTAACCCATACTAACTAAAGCCATCAGGGCATTACTTCTCAGCCGTGATCCAATGTTTTTTGAGTTATTAGCAGCTAGCTTCACTATTAGTTGTATAACTCCAGCATTGTTAATTACATATCAATCATTTAATCGTGGACAAAGAAAGCGGAGATAAGAAAAATTAAAAGAAAAGGAATTGTAGATATTACCTTTCTTTGTGAACACTATGATGAAGCAAGATATGTGGAGGATCTCCTTCATCTGAACCTATCACCGACATGCAGTAGCTTGCTCTACTCCATAGTCTCGAGTTCTTCCAACTTCTTCATCGTTTGTCCTCCATTTTTTTTCGTCTTCCTCGATCTCCTTCCTTCTCAATCAACTTGGTCCAGTGTTGAGGACATCTTCTTTGACGGAGATCTCTATCTCATCCCACCTCCCAGCAACTCTCTGACCGTGAGCCATCTCAAATTGTAGGAGTTTCATCTCTTGCAAATGGAGCTGATGCTTTTAAAAATCCATGAATTTTTAAGCGGTGATTGAAAACACCTGGAGGCAGTGAATGAGGACACCTGGAGGCCTTTTTGTTTCTAGAAAATATCTCCCCAGCTTTCCACCATCTATTTTTACTTTCTATGTTATCTTATTAGTTATTTTGTTTTTTTATCCTTTTGTTTTATTGCATTTTATATTTTAATATTTTAATGTTTAAATGTTTATCTTTTTTTCCTATTTTATTTTATATTTTATACCATAAAATATATTAAAATAAGTAAGATATTAAACCAAGATGTGAACGTGGATCTTGATATTAAATCTAAATCGTTGCCAAAAAAAAGATATTAAATCAAAATCATTCTTTTTGGGAAATTCATATTCTCATGTATTTTTATGTTTAAGATAATTAACGAAATTTATAAAAAGAGGATAAATAATTAAAAAATAAAATTACCAGGCTGCAACATGAGGAAAAATTGATAGATAAAAAATTCATGGCACGGTTTTGTGAAGTCGGCTGATTACAAGTTACATAAACAATGGTTGTATTTTATTTTCTATTTAAAAAATGCACACTATATTCCAACAACAAACAAATTATTGCTTATTTTATAATAAATAATAAATTTTATATGTTTCTAAATAATTTCTACTACAAAATATATTAAAAGTTATCACTTCAAATCATCTCAAGAATTTCTTATTTCACAAAACGTGAAATATTATATTAATTTTAAATATTTTAATTGTTTATATATTTAGTGCTCTTATTAATATTGAAATAGATCCCTTTATTAATTTTAAAAATATTGTATGATTAGTCCATTTTATTTTAAAATTTTATAAAAAAGTAAGATAAATTTATTACACATTTAGATGAATAAAAAATATTAAATATTATTATAATTTAATTAGTTGATGCTTTCCTGCAATGCACGGGAAGTAAAATCTAGTTATTAAAATAACAAAATAAAATTTTATGCAGGGTTAAAAGGAGTTTAGGCTTCCATTTATTTATTTATTTTGATCTCTCCCTCTCCTCGTTTCCCCCCGCAACGGCCCTCTTCATTGTGCCCCCCCCCCCTTCCTCTGTTCCTCACCTTCAACTGTAATAACCCTGGAATTTTAAACGCGCGGCTGGGGATATTTCTTGTTCGCCTCCATTTTTGATTCTCCAAAACCTGGCGTGAGATAGACCAATCGAACCCTAGCCTCCGATCTCCTTCTCGCTGCTGTTGGCGGAGACTGTGGTAAGCCGGAATCCTTTCCCTCCGTCGTTTTCTTCCCCTGTTTCTTCTCTGTGATACGTTGCTGTGCGGGTTGCTGCCACTGTCATCAGTCTTCTCCGTCCTCCCCTGTATTGCACGTCTCTGGTCGGCTTTCATCATCATCTTCCTGGGTCGCGCAACAACATCTCCTTCTCTTAGATTTGGCCATCGTTGATCACTGGTAAGGATTTTCTCATTTCTTTCCTTCCTCCTCGGTTCTGTCCGTGTGTATGTGTTGAAGAGAATGGTTGCTGTAATGGTAAGTGGCTTCGATCTCTTCTTCTGGTTGAGATTATGCGAGTGGGTGTGTGATTGATGGTTGAAGTGCAAAATTTTCTTCTCCTCTGTTCCTGCTGCCCATGACCGTATATGTTTGGATATGGAGGGAAAGCTTGATTTAAGTTGAAACTTGTATTAATAAAAAGAAGATGATGATGGTGTTGTTTGAGTTTTAGTTGAACTTGATTCGATTATTGATGCTGATAAATTTTTTTGGAAAGTGAAATTGATGAGGAAGATGTTGGTATTAATTTAAAGGTTCATGCCCACAGAGTATTCGATAAAATACCTGTTGGAAGAGTTTTACTTAATTGAATAATTAGAGTTTAGTTTTAGTTTTGTGTTAAATATAATTATGGGCAATATCTTTAATCTCCCTTCAACCAGATACTCATCTTGAATTGGAAGGAAAAAGAGATCTTTGTTGCTGGTCTGTGATCTTATGATGGGAAGTTATCATTTTTCATTTACTTCCTAATTGTCTTAAATCTCGTTTCAAGCCACTTTTACTTTGCGATTCTATGGGGAAGCATGTCTTTGATATCTTGAAATCTTCAACTGTGTGGTATGCTGTAAACGTATGTGTGGTGTACATGGCTGTAACGTGTTACTTGAATGAGTCGTTTTTACTTTGGATAGAAGTTGATGTCATGAACCTATATGCAGAGTTAAACTAAATAGGAAGTTGTTAAATTTTGGTCATTTAGCTCAACTAGATATGGGACTTGTGTTGCACAAAGTTATTTGTGACTTATGAATAACTGATTATGTCTTTGTTTTTTCATAAAGGAGTTTTATTTAACTTTGTTCTCTTTAAAGTTGTAATGCTATTTGTTTGCACATGTAAAATTGCATTTGATGAGAACTTTGGTTATCGACTTTTATGATGGTTTTGTGTATTGAACTTCGGTAGAAGAGTTTTTTTTTTCCTTTTAAATTTTTGCCCAGACTTATCATATGCTGAATATTAAACAGAAAATGCTTGTAGATAGCACGAGTGCCATTCTAGCATTATGGGGCTTGGAAAATGATGTGTTTCTGAAGATCACTAAACTGCTGTGAGGGTACTCCGACCTGCAAAACAACCTGATTTGAACCTTTGGTAGGATAAAACTGGAACTCAAGTTTGCCATGGTTGTGAGTTTCAACTTCGTTTGAAACTTATAGATGTAAATACTGCTTTGATCAATGGACCCATATGACAATACTCCCCCAGATGAAGAATCCCTTTCTCTCTCCACCTTGGCTTCCATGAGATCCCTCATCATCAACCCTTCAACTCCACAATCAACCATATCTTCCATTTTTCAAAAGCTTATTCGCTCACTTGAACTTAGTCATGACAAAGTCCTTCTTCATTACTCTCTCAACCTCCTAACCCATCTTGCCTTGCACCACACTTACTTTTCTCATTTCATTTTTCAATCTGTCTGTTCTCACTATCTTCTCTCTTCCCAATCCACCCGCCTTGCTGTTGACTCACTACAAGTACTGGCTTCCATCACAGCATGTTTTCCAGCGCTGAGCTTGAATATGAATAAGCTTGATGATGGGTTTTATGTTTCTCTCTGTTTTGGCCCCTCTGTGTCTGCACGTTTATGGTTGCTGAACAATGCAGGGCGCTTTCAAATTCAGCCATCTTTACTGTTTACTGTGTTGCTAGGGTTCACAAAGGATCCATATCCTTATGTGAGAAAGGCTTCTCTAGATGGACTTGTTGATTTAAGTAATCATGGCATCTTTGAAGACTCTAGTTTAGTGGATGGGTGTTATCGTCGTGCTGTTCAACTTCTGGGTGACATGGAAGATTGTGTGAGATCATCTGCGATTCGTGTTGTAAGATACTATTACTTAATGTTTTCCTTTCCTTTGTGTGCTTCACGGAGAATATGACTTTGCAATGCTTGTGGAATAATAATTAAAAGCTAGTATTTTGAAGCTTAGGGTATCGTATCTTCAATAAGCTTATTTATCCTAAATGGATCATATTTAGTCTTCTAGCAACTCGCTAACAGGTTTTGCACTTCTGGAAATTTTAGTATAACTTGAGGTCTTATATGATACGTTAACTATTTTGTAATTTCAGGTTGCTTCATGGGGGCTAATGTTAGTGGCTTCTAATTCTGACATGAAAAGCTACTGGTCCAATGAAGTATTTGCCAAGGTATTTTTTTGATTCTATGGGCTATGCATTGTCTATGGTTTTTGGATCTCAATTTCACAACTGTTTGATATTAAAGCTACAATTCCAATATTATGATGATTTCCTATGCATGATTCTTTCCCCTTCTTGACAATGATATAAAGTTAAACTGTGATGTCTTTGACAAGAAACCCTTTTGATAAATGTATGCTTTTTTTTTTTTTTAAATTCTAGTGGCTATGCATTTTCTATGGTTTTTGGATCTCATTTTCACAACTATTTGATATTGAAGCTACAATTTCAATATTATGATGATTCCTTATACATGATTCCTTCCCCTTCTAGACAATGATATAAAGTTAAACTATGATGTCTTTGACAAGAAACCCTTTTGATAAATGATATATCTAAAGAGTGGGTTGTTGATAGAGCACATTGGCGAAATGTGTTCTATGCACTTGACTCCATATAGTGGGATAAAGCTTGTTGTCATTGTTGTCTTTGACAAGAAACAATGAGTTATTCAATTAAACAAGATTTTGGGCCCATTTTTTGCATGAAATTTGAAGTCATACCATTTATAATTTTAAATAATGCTATTAATAGATTTTATGTTATATATAGATTCTTGATGCATGTGATATAATATGTTCTCATGTTATTGCACAATGTCATTTTCTTTTTGATGCTTTCAGAAATTAGATTTATGCCTTACATAGTTATATTATTGAATCTATACAATTTCAAGTCACTGAACTAATATGATGGAATCAAATTTATGTATGATATTCATTAGGAACCCATGAGCTTTGTCAGGCACCAATGAATGGAGGGCTTCCCCTCGTGCCACTGTCCTTTTTGCAAGTGTTATTATGTTTTTTTTGTGTCCAAGTATTTTGGAGACTATTGATTACCTTGGTATTACATGCACTGCATATTCATGCAGCTCTGTTCGATGGCAAGAGATATGAGCATGGAGGTCAGGGTTGAAGCTTTTAATGCCCTTGGAAAGATTGAAATAGTATCTGAGGATTTTCTTTTGCAAACTTTATCAAAGCGAGTCTTGGAGGTTGGAAAGAAAAAAGAAGTTGTTGGCCAGAAAACAACTGAACAATTTAAAATGCTGGCAGCTAGTGTTGCTGGTGCTCTAGTGCATGGACTTGAAGATGAGTTCTTTGAGGTAACTTTTCTAGAACATTAGTGCTTCATATGCATTTTATAATAATGATCAGGTGTACCATGTATCTTTGAGACAAAAGGTTTCTTGTCTAAATTAAGTGGAGAACTTCGCCTCTTAATGCTCCATGTTTAGAGAACTTGATCTGGCAATTGGCTGCAATTAAGTGGTAATGGTTTAAGGCTTTTTCCCATATTTGATTTGAAGTTGAAAGAATTTTTGTTTAACCTGAAGGTGCGGAAGTCTGCTTGCCAGTCCTTACAAAGACTTGCAGTCCGCTCTATTGAGTTTGCTCATGAAGCTTTGAACATTTTGATGGACGTGTTGAATGATGATTCAGTGGTTGTTCGATTACAAGCTCTAAAAACTATGTATTATATGGCAATTAGTGGCTGTCTGAAGGTTCAGGAAAAACATTTGCACATGGTATGTTTTTCTTCCTTGATAAATACTTGGGCTGAATATCCAATATATGACTATGATTTATGGTTGTTGGGAGTCAAATTGATTTTTTAAAATAAAAAAGGATTTTTCCTTTTTTTTTTCCTCTCCTTTTACTTAGTTTTGCATAACGAACCAAATAACTAGTTTACTTGGTGATACTGTTGGTCATCGACTACTGTGAAACTGTATCACCTTTGCAATAACATAATAAATTACTGGAGTCATGCGCATGTACTTTTTGATCAAATCTTATGTCTTGGATGTCCCATAGGTTTTTGTTCTATGATAAAGCTTTTTTAAAGAGAAAGATAGTGATTTGCAATATTTGATTGTGGAAACTTTACCAGTCAGAACTCAAAAGGGGTGTTGTTCTGTGATGAAATTTTCAAAGATCTTTAATCCTTGTCAATAAATCTAAATTATATATTAATTAAAAAAATTCTTTTTTCTGGCCTATTGTTAGCATTATCTTTTGTCTGCTCAGCAAGTCAACATCCTGATCATGTTTCATTCCATGCTTTTCCAGTTTCTTGGTGTTCTAGCTGACAAAAGCAGGGAAGTGAGATATGCAGCAAGGAAAATAGTTAAACAAGTGAAGCTGAATAGTCTCTTGTTGTTTAAATCAACTATCGATGGTCTTCTAAATAGTTTGAATATTGACCCACAGGTTTTCTTCTAATTATTCTGCAATTTTAACCTTTTTATTCTAAAGATGCGCTTGTGAGATTTTACAACAACAATGCAATTGATTGCAATGCTTACAAAATATTTTCCGGAACCCTTGAACCCTAACACAGACCATATATCCTGCTATGCTATGAACAATCTGAACACCTTTCGCAGTTATCATGTTCCCAATCAAATCTAAATGGGGTAATTTAGTTTTTCATTTTGCCACCCATTTTCTTGATTGGCGATGGCCTCACTTTCACTGCATTCATTCTTTTCCTATGCTTTTACAGATAATCGTTATTTAGTATTTATGTCCTAAATGTTCACTTCAGTACCCTATGACCTTAGAACCTTTCTTCCTCATTATATCTATCTTGTTTTTGCTGTATGGATTACATGCCGCTCAATTTTCTTATAATTCAAGCCCGAGTTCTACACACATATATATGTATTATATGTATGACACCAATTTTTTGAAATTATTGAACTTTAATTCTTTTTCTTTGTAACATCTACATATTCTCATGCCAGGACGAAGCTGATGTATTTTCAGCAGTTTCTCATATTGGCCGAAATCACGTGAAGTTTGTAGCCATTTTCTCCAAGGAAGTTTTAGAAGAGGTGAACTTGTTCCTTTTACGATGATGATATAAATTTCCAGCATCTTCATGAAGAATTTGCGCTTGTCCTGCTAACATGAAACTATACTTTTTTGACAGACTGTAGTTAGAGTGGCATCCTTAGAAACTTGGGTATTAGAAAGTTGCTGCACCTACTGCTTACAATTTACTCTTGCAGTACTAGTTTTATATATCACAAGTGTGTTTGATAGGCTGAAATTCCTATAGTTTTTCAGGGGTGTGATTTTGGCATTACATTTAACACTGTTGCGCCTGTTTATGTAATTTAGCCCCATAATAGAAATGATGTTACTTGATAAATTCGTTGCAATGTTCTAGTGGCAACAGATAGGAGGATGGTTAAGTTTTTCATGGGAGGTCACTATCTAACATTTGTAGTGTCAGAAGAATAAAACCTCATAGAGGGACAAACAATGATGCATTTTGCCTGTAGTTTCCTCAAGATTGATTTTATTCAACTGATCAAGGTGAATGAATTTTAACCCCCATTTTATGACCCAGAAATCTAATTTTCAGCAGAGATAATTGAGATGAAGTTAATATTATGTTACACCATTCTGTCAGGTAGAAGCAGCTTTTGAAGGCAACCCAGAATTCAGTAGTGCGAGAGTGGCTGCACTTTTAATCCTTTGTATCTCTACCTCACTGTTACATGACGTAGGCACCATACCTCCAGTTTTGTTTTCTTATGCCGTTACATTCCTGGGGAGGATTTATTCTGCTTTTATTGATGTTATGGATAGGGATGCCGTTTTGGCCTGCCTATCTGATAAAAGTAGATCCATGGGTTGTTTTGCCTCAAATATTAACCATGATGAAGGGGAGCAACTATCATCCTTAATTCAAGGTGATCATTGTGCCAGCAAGGATGTGATAAGTGTTGAGACATCACAGAAAGGAGATGTGGAGTCTGAAATTCAGTCCCCTTTTTGGAGGGAGCCAAAAGATATACTCAATACTCTAGTAGAACAACGCCTAGTGCATGACGAAGTCATAAAGTTTACAAATCATATTCTTTGGAAGGTCCCAGATATCTGGTCTCTGATACAATCTGGCTTTACAAGTGAAGTGCTCAAGATCCTGAGGTAATTTAGCTCCATTAAAATTTGGCCCTTTTTGGCTTTAATTCAATTTAGCTTCCCTCGTATATCTATATGCATATATTGGCTGTAAATTATGGCAAATTTATGTAGAGATTTTCTGTAAACTCAGAATGTAGCTAGTTCATGGTGACAACAGTCTATTTGAGGGCCTGACATTTAAGATGTTTGTCCTGTGAGCTTATTTACTATTGCTACATGACATATGTTTTGATCGTTGAACACTTGCATGCATATGAAATTTTATCTTGGTTTTCTTTTTAAGCTTTGTGTTGACAATGTAGGAGCTGGAAGGAGGATCTGGCAACTATGAAATTTGATCCTGCGGGATCCGGTGATGCTTTGGCATTTATCATGCAATATCTTCGAATAATAAAGTGCCTTGGAAAAATTTGGGAACATTTCCCCCAAGAGAAACTTGGATGTTCTCGTGCAATGGGGGAATTAGACTATAAACTGGCAAAGCTTGATAGGAGGATTAAAGAATTCAGGAGTCAGTTCATAGGGTTTTCTCCACAAGAGGAGTTGAATGTCTTGGAGCTAATGCTAGTGACTTGCGTCCTTAGGTTGTGTAAAGTTGACATCTGTTGTCACACTCTTTCATTAAAGAGGTTGACTGCAATACTTTCACATCTAGAATCTCTCCTTAAAGAAAGCTCTGTCGTGCCATCCACATTTGTGGTTGAACTCAGGAAATTGTTATCTGAAGGCACCTCCATAAGTGAAGCCTCCCAGAGTCCACTTGAGTTTTGCAAATGTCTCAAATTCTTCTCCCTGAAGCAGTTCGTATGTTGTGGGACAATTAGACTTGCACGAGCAGAGCTAAGTATTTTGAATAGTGACTCTGAACACCCACTTCCTTTTGTTTCGGGACTACCAGTTGGAGTTGAGTGTGACATCGCTCTCCACAATATCACCAGTGATAAAAGGTTGTGGCTGAGCATGACCATGAATGATGATGGTTCGCCACAGTATGTTTTTCTAGATTGGAAGCTTTTTGAAGGTTCTGCAGAGGTGAGGGTTAATTCTGCATTTGTTGCTCCATTTTATGGAACCCCAAAGGCTAGTTCTTTCAGGTTGAGGGTCAGTATAGGTTTGGAATGTTCATTTGAGGATGCTGTTCCAAGGAAGACTCATGGAGGGCCAAGACATGAACTTACGTTTATTTGTCCCGAAAAAGTTGTTCATCTTTCTAATGTACTAAAGACTAAATCACACTCCCTCCGATAAAACATTAAAGTATACGCGTGATTTTGGTTGGGATTGAGATGCCAATAGCTCCCTAGGCCCTGTCCTTCAATGAAACAAGGTTCAAGTTGAAACTGTTGCGCCAGAAATTCCAAATTCTAATGTCAAGAGCTCTAAAATTGTGTTCTTTACCAATGGGTGCTTGTCCAAGTGGTTAGGGACTTGGACAACTTAACATAGGGTCTCATATTTGAGTTTTAGAGTATGCAGCACTGCAGATGAGCTAGTAGGACTTGCGAAATCCCCTTGACGAGAGCCCCCTAAGTGGGGATCTAGATTAGTCAGGTGCACTAGGCGGGCAATAAACTTGACATGTCCAAACGCTTTAGGATATTGGGTACAAAAAAAATTGTGTTCTTTACCTTCCTCTATAATAATTTACTCTTCCAATCCTATTTATAAAGGTATTTTAATGATTATTATATCTATCTTTTCCTCTAGTTGAGAATATTATTAAATATTAAATATTTTATTTTCAAAATATGCATATTTAATAAGGATAAAATTGATTTTTTTTTGAATTTTTAGACAAAGTTAATGGGAGTTAAGTTTTTCTTTAATTTTAATGAAAATATTAAAAATGATTTGTAAATAGAGCTTGTGGGAGTTGTGCGTTAATGTTATTGTGGACAATTTCAAATTGGACATATAGGATGGGCACGGAAAATTTGCCCCAATCACAATCTAAAGGTCTCAAACTTTTAGTATTATTTTTTTTAGGTCAAGGGTTATTTTTGTTTTTAAATTATTATACACGAAAGCTCATAAATGATTTTAAATTTAATTTTGGGTTAAATTTATTCCTCAATTTTAGAATTTTGCTTCCTTCGTACTCCTGATGTTAATTATCCATTAGTGGGGTTCACATGAATTTTTGAAATATTTTTTATAATAAAATATAATAGTAGGACTTTTTTTAATATTTTTTTAGGTTAAGAGTCTAAAATGTTTCTTAACTAAGTGAAAAGGGTCATATTCACCCCTAAAGTCAAGAAAAAGTCATTTATATTCTTCAAGTGTTAATATTTTTTATTTTATTAGTATTGTCTGTTGTGTCAATTGTTATCATTAGTGGGGCTTACATTTGAATTTTTTAATATTTTTAATGGGTAATATCATTTTTTAATATTTTTATAATTTTAAAAAAAATACTCTCTTTCCTCTCTCTCTTGCCCCTGTCATTCCCTCTCGTTCACTCATTCTTGGATTGAAGCAAGTAAAGTAGCAACGATAGAGCACCCAGCATGCCAATTGCAGTTTTGTTATCATCATGAATGGCCAGACTGAAGAATGCATCGGAAGCATGTTCTTGCAATAATTGGTGAAATTTTGGCACCATTTGACAATGGCAAATTTTATGGCAAGGTTAGGAATTATGATAGAAAAATCAGACTTGGAACTATTGAAGAGTCATGGTGTGAAGTTTAAATTTTTATAAGCTTGAATAGAGACTCGCTCAAATGTGTGGCTTGAGCCTTGGAGAGACTCACTAAAAATATAAAAAAAATAGTGAGACCCATTAAAATATTAAAAAAAATTTAAATGTGGGCCTTATTAAATGTGAAATTTGACGGAATAGATAGCAAGATAATAGAATCAAAAATCTTAACAGTTGAAGGATATAAATGATCCTTTCTTCACTTTAGGGTGATCTTAGCTTTTTTTGCTTAGTTGAGAAGTATTTTAGATTCTTAATCCTATAAAAAATTGATAGGACCTACTAAAAATATTAAAAAATTTAAATGTGAGCCCTACTAACAATGAAATTTAATGAAATAGACGGCAAGATGATGGAATAAAAAATTTTAATGGTTGAGGGATATAAATGACTTTTTCTTAACTTTAGTGCATGGCACACTTTTAGGAAAAATAATTATTGTCTTTCTTGTATGTAGGCATGGTATGGTGTCAACACTTTAGCAAGCCTTTTTTTTTTTTATTAAATTTTAAAAGTATGTTTAACATGTTTTCAAATATATCAGGATCTTGCGTTTTAAAAATATATTATGGGCTTATATATATATATATATATATATATGTATTTGTGTTGTGACTTGTAGTTAGTGTAAATAAAGTTCGAAAAGAATTGCATAACTTTACACTTACTGTCAAGAGAAACGTAATTAAGGAATTTTTGAATATGAAAATCTTAATCATGAATATGGAATTATGGTCTCAAAGCTTGGAAATTGGAAACTGCAAATATCATATGCTGAATAATGACGCAATTGATTTGTGCTTGGTGCATCATTACATATCACGTATAAGATAATCTAAAATTTAACAAAACAGTACAACAAAGAGATGATCCATAAGAAGATTAATACTTGATGTTGACATTCACATCCAATGATATAGCAAATATATCACCCATTGAAAGAAGTTTACAAAGCAACAAAACATACTGGATACATTTGCAAGAAAAAGGAAAAATGAAATATAATACAATTAACTTTAACAATTTAACTTCTTCTCGACCAAGAAGCTCTACCTTGTTCTTCAGTATGACGTCTTCTCTTTTAAGTTCTGGAAATTCAAAGAGATCTCAGGGTCCACGTTGAAAATAATCCCGGTGGCATTGAAAAAGCTTTAATTACCTTCACATCTGATGCACTAAACAAAGGGACAAGTTAAAAACGGGGGAGAATTATATCCAAGCACTATATATTCATAGATAAGGATTAATAATAAGTGTAATTTGAGAGTAAATAAATCGTGTTTCCATTTTAATCACAATCAATTTTATATTGATCCTTGTCTGCAATAATTTGCTTAAATGGTCCTTAAATGTGTTTCATCCTAAAAATAGAGGAAGAGTAGTTTAGCGAGTGTAATTCAGCAGGAATCGTCATATAACTGATTAAAATTAACATAAACAATATCACTGAAATTTACACAACATTCCCGAAAAAAGTCGGTGGGGGGGGGGGGATACTAACCACCTTTCACTGAGAACAGGCCAGGGTCGATGAATTAGTGATATATGAGAAATGACAATCATTATTACGCTGCACTGTAATGAAAGAACAAAACGGTAAAAAGGAACTTTTTGAGACCACATTTCGAAGAAAGAAAAAAAAATATATATATATATATAGTTATGATAACAAAAGGACAATCAGAATTGAATAATATAAGCCAAACCTCTGCGTCCTATACAAGAGCGTTGAGATAATCGACCACATATGGAGGGCCCATGACACTCTTCCAACGTAAATGCACTATCCGAATGAGCGAAGCCTGCCTGCAACTTCCTGATAGGAATTATGCGATCTGAATCCATCTGGTTGCTGCTGTGCTGGCAATGAAAAAACAGTTGGATAAAAAATTAAAAAGGATTAAAGAGCCAAAAAAAAAAAAAAAACTCACGAACTTTTCTTATAGGTACCCAATATTTTTAAGTAAAAGACAGTATAAAAGCACCTTTGACATTGATAAAATGAGTGCAAAAGTTTTCAAACTATTAAATTTGTGTTTAGTGAAAAAGGAGTGTCACAAGGTGTGCCAAAGATATGCGGTCTCAAAAAAATGAAAGAATCTAACTTCTAATTAGATGCGGGAATGCGAAGTGAAAAAAAAAAATGTAAATGCAGGAAAGCTAAGATATATTAATTAAAAAAGAGGTGATGGGCTATGCCAATCGTATAATAGAAAAGTAAATATTACAAACTACATGATAAAAGGGAAAATAAAGTAGCAAACACGGTTTAGGAATTTGACTAGCAATTTGTTGATGATGATGATGATCTTTTATGAGAGATAGCTTCTTTATTTATAGATGATCCTAGCTTGGTGCTCAATCTTCATGATCACCATTTTCCTTAAATTTAGGAAGCACTTCCTTCATCGTAGCCACTTTCTCCACTTCCATAGTTCAAGTGTCATGGGTGGAGTATGGAGATAATGGCCTATACCCTATTCTGACTTAGTGGTTAATGCTTCATAAATATTTATTTTTAATTATTTTAAGGCTGATTATGTTGAGTTGAGATTGGACCTCCAAATTCATAATTTGGGTGCAAATAATGCCCCTTGATGGGCTGAAGCCTTAGTAGGCCAATTTTGTAGGGATATTTCCATTGGTCCCACTTCCAAGCATTGTGTGAGTACTTGTCTTAGAGGATAGTCTCATTTCTACTGTGATTGATGATTGATTTGGTACTTTCCTTAGAGGATACTCTTGTGGTTGAGGATTAGGGGCCATGTAACTTCTTTGGGTTAGACCAATAAAGTTATCCTTACTAATCTTTCCTAAACACCTATTAATTAGTGTGATAAACAATATGACAAAAATTTCACAAGTGGGGTCAACCAAATTAAATAATTCACAAATGAAACCCTAATATTTCAACAATTGAAAAGCCTCCATACACCTCTATTATATTCAAATCAGAGTTTTAAAACAGATGCGAAAGCTTGGAATTCAAATGGGACCAAAAACCTTTGATTTAAAATTCAATTGTAAAAACTGCAGAAAATGACACATGTGCCGCAGCTCATAAGGCTCTGTGCCATACACCACAGCACATTGCACGATATTTGACAGCAAACTATTGCTGTCATAGGACAGTACTAAGAGCGAACTTCTGACGCATCCTAAATCTCCATTCGACGTTCGATTGAGGTGATTTTAGTGCCTACATGAAGCTTTCTCCAAACTCTAGCTAATGGCACAAGTTTCACACTCAAATTCATTTTCCATAAAGAATTGAACACTCAAACCCATTTTCACTACTTTTTCACCATAACTCACAATAATGGTGTCTAAACTCACACACAAGTGCCAAAAGCCTACACCGATCACTTGACCACACTCAATGGACCATATAGGACTCATACAACACACTACACTCAACCAAATATACATATAATACAAATTCACCACTCAACCCCAAATTTCATAAAACACAAGGGGGAGGAAATCTTTGCACCAATCATTCATTTTCATTTTAAAACATCCCAAAATACACATAACACTACTTGTACAAGTATTTTGGCCCTATATGAGGTTTACAACCAAAACTCACTAACCCAAGGCACAAAATATACAAGTTGTATATAATCATAATGCAAGTAACTCAAAAATAATCATGTGATTCCTAGTTGGCAAACAAACAACATTAATATACGTAAAA